TGTCCACATGTGCTGCTGGATACAATAGGGGGTGATCTCGCGGTGTTCCTTGTTCACTGCACGATGTGCTCTTGTGGATACAGCTGTCGCTGGCATGCTGAGGGCTGTGCCAATCCCAGTAGTGTGGGACAAACCCAGAGTGGGAATGTTCTGCAAATCAATTGTGAAAAGACCTGAGATGGGTCTGGGGATGAGTCCAGTCATCTTCCACATCGCACAGAAGCTGTCGGCAGGCTGAGGAGGAAAAGGAATGCTGTTGGAGGGTTGTGAGGAGTCCAGACTACCCTTGATCTGAGAAGCTGAGTGTGGAGATCACTTCGATCTGTGGGAACCTGAGGTACATAATGGTTAAAAAAGGGCTTTGTGAAACGAAAAATCAAGAGCTGTGGAGATAATGCAGTGTTGACAGCCATCTAGGCACTTAGAGAGCAAATTAGGCTGCAAATGGGAAACTGTTCATTTGTGGAGTTGAGTAAATTAAAATTCTGTGCACATTTTTCCAAAGGAAAGTTAAAAAAAACCCAAACGACAGATCTTACTTGGAACTGTCTGCAGAGATGCAGCCAGCTCCCTCTGTGTGCATGGCTGAGTGCTGTTCTCTCTGGGGGAGAGATGGGAATGACAGAGTGGATCTGGGATGTGTGCTCTGGAAGCAGTGTCTGGAGCCTGCCAGGGCTGCTGGGAAGCAGTACGAGGTTATCTGGCAGCACTGTGAGCTGGGCAGAGGTTTTGAAGACTGCTCCCTACCTCTGCTGAGTTCCAGCACAGCTGCTCTCCATACCCACACTGGGCAGGATGAGGACAGAACAGGGCACAGACAACTTGGTCTTGGTGCCTTCTGTCCCTTGGGAAGGTTCCCGGGGCAGTCTTTGCCCCCAGTGTGTGTGGGGGGGGCTGCAGTGTGACTCGAAGGCTCAGCTGGCACACGGTGTCATCTCTTGCGTTTAGACATCATGGTCTTGACATTCCACCCTGGTGAGAACACCAGCCTTTTGGATGATGTTTTATCCTGATTCCTATTTACAGCAGATCCGGGCGGAAGCTGTCAGCGAGGTTAAAAACTCTCTCCTCCTAAAGCGTATTTCTGGCAGAAACAGCCTGCACAAACTAGGTCTTGGGTCTGTTTCCCTTGGCTAAAGGAACTTGTTAGTCCAGAAATAAAGTAAGTAGACTTTATTTATCTTGCTGGCCTTTTGTCGTGGAAGGAGGTCATCAACCTTTTTGCTTCGTTATTTCCTGACTCTCATTCATTCTCACACATGACCTTGGGAGTTGGAAGTCACAACAAAGAGAAGAAAAATTAAAAGAAAGCTCAGTCTTATTTTTTTCCCTAAAATTTACTTCAAATGTGATATATCCTGCTAGTAGGTATTTCTAGATTGGCCTCTTTGGTTCTGTGGCATTTTTTAATTATGGAAAGTCATTACTTCCTTCTTATTTCTCCTGTTTAAGCATAGGAGAAACTGATGCTCTTCTCTCCGAAACAAAACCACCCTCCAATTCCTTTTGAGTATGAAGTTTTTGGACTCTTCTAGAAATGACACTATAAAAAATTACGGAGTCTAGACATGAGCACCAGACATTCCTTGGAAGAAACTGAAGATGCTTCTCCCACCCCAAAGATAGTTCTGCCATTAGGAAAACTCATCCTCAGTTCCCTCAGAACAACCTCAAACCCAGATTATCAAACATGACACACAACCCTCAGTGCCTGACTTGCTTTCTGTGCCCTCTTGCTTTCTGTTTGTGCACATTTGAACCTCTCTGCAGATGGTACAAAGAGATGTGGAGATATTGGAGGGCAAATGAGGACAGAAAAAGCAAACTTCCCCTGGAGAGCGACTGCCTGGGGTGGAAGCACTCCCTGTGCAGTGAGGGTGGGGGTAAAGCTCAAGAACCAGAATTGTTCTGGAATCAAGAATCTGAATTGTTCTAGAATCATGAAATCTGTCAGGTTGAGAGCTGCTTATTGTGGAGGAGCTGAGAGGAAGGCAGACGAGGTCAGGGCACACACGGTGCACTTGGGAGAGGCTGCAGTTCCCTGTGGGGGAGCACTGCCAGGGCTCCAGACGTGACTTCATTGTGAGAATTCAGGTGCCTTTGTGGCTCAGATGGCAGTTTATCCTTCCTGTGCTGATGATTATTTTTTCATAACTTTGAGGTGTACCAGCTGCATGGCTTCTGTGCAGGCTTCCCCCCCCTCCCCGTTCACCACAGGCTCAGGCAGCAGCAGGGATTATAAAGCTGTGTTTTGGGAGGAGTGGATTGCTGGTGTTTCCCATCTGTGTAGCACATCTTGCATTTCAGTGCATAAAGAAGCAACTCCACAGGCATGTGAGGGTGCTCAGTGGTCCCTGACTCATACCAGGACAGCTTCCTCCTTCCCTGTGCTGAATCCAGACATCTCCTAGGGAGGACTAGGCTGCCAGCTGAGACCTTCCCTTGCCAATTTAAGATCCCTTTGCTGTGCTGGGTCCTTGCCGTAGGGATGGCTGTTCTGGAGGATACCCCTGATTCAGAGAGGACTGGTTCTGTTGCGCTCACTGCTCAGTGATCTGGTTTGGCTTGCCCTTGCTGCTGCTGGTTCCTTTATCCAGCACTGTCTTCCCAGCTGGACTGCCTCCTCCTCTCTCAGCACAAGATCATCCGCTCCTCCCTATTTCCCATTTCAGGGCATCTTCAGCTGTGATTCTGCCAAGTAAGCTTGGAGTGCCTGTTGTCACTTGGAATGTCCTTGATTGCAAAGAAGAGAGTGACAAGAAGTCAGAAAAATGAGAGGAGGGTTGCAAAAAGGCTGTTGCTGAGGACAATTCCCTAAATGCTATGTGTGCCCAACCGGTGCCAAGCGGCAGCTCCTGATGCAGTGACTCGTGTGACTGCAGGGCCAGGCACAGCCTACTTTCCTTGTGTCTGTCCTCAGAAATACTCTGATTCAAGGAAAGCTCCCTTGGGAGGAGTTGTGGACCTGAGTGGTGGCCAGCAGCCTGGCTGTGGTCTGGATCCTGCTAGCTGGGCTCAGGGGCAAGGGTGGAGGCTCCAAGGTGCTACTCCATGTCGGCACCAACTTCCCTGCCCTGAGCTGTGCCTCTCCTGGCTACCAGCATCATTGTGCTGCACCTAGAGAGGTGACTGGGAAGTGAGTCGTGAATGTGGGTGGTGTTCAGGGACAATGGATGTGGGCCTGAGGATGCTGTAGGTTACTCTTGCCAGAAGAAAAGGTTGTTCTCTGCCAGTGTGGCAGTGACAGTAAGCAACACCTACAGCAAAGCCTGTGTGGATCCTGGTCCTGAGAGCTCAGTCCTGCAGAGATGCTGTGGTGCTTGTTGGCGTCATTCAGCTTCCGCCTTGTCAGCAAAGGACTGAGGATGAGATGGTTTTGGAGAGGGAAAACACATGAAAGGGGTGTGCCTGATTAGCTCCATCCTGTTCTGCTGCCACCGACCGAGGTGTTCTGTGTAAGGGGAAAGAAAAAGACTGTTTCTGCCTCAGTGAGTTTGTGTCAGATTTGTGACAGGAAAAGGGTGTGTTTTGCTCCTCCAGATACAGTCACAAAGGCAGTTCCTCCTGTGTAGAGACTACAGCTTTGGAAATGATTTGGGGGATGTCCAGCCTTCCCTAATAACCCGGTTCTGCGTTAGCACAGCCCTGTTGTCTCAGTTGTTGCCCTAACAGCACACAAATGGTGCAGCTGCAGTAGCATTCTGTCCCTTAGCCTCTTGGTTTCTGCATGTGGAGGTGGCCTCTCAGGTGTGTCCTGCCCCTTTCCTGTTCCCTATTATGAAGCTTCCTGATTTTCTTCTGCCAGGGAATTCTCTTGGTGTACGACATCACCAATCGCTGGTCCTTTGATGGGATAGACCGATGGATAAAGGAAATAGATGAGGTAAGTGGATGGCAGAACACATGCGGTGGTCTGTAGCAGAAATCTGGGGCTCTGTCCCCCCTGGGGGGGCCAGGAATGGCTCTGCTGTGGGGAAGACATGATGGTGGTGCACTAGTAAGTAGAGCAAATGGGTAAGTGTCTGCCCTCCACCTCCAGAGTAGTAGGAAAGGGCTTGGAAATGGTTAAGAAAGGTAGGGAAGTTCTCCCTCAAATGGAGTACGTGCCATGATTTCTCCATTTGTTTCCCTGTTTCAGCATGCCCCAGGTGTCCCTCGGATCCTGGTGGGAAACAGGCTCCACCTTGCCTTCAAGCGGCAGGTGCCGACAGAGCAGGCCAGGGCCTACGCCGAGAAGAACTGCATGACGTTCTTCGAGGTCAGCCCCCTGTGCAACTTCAACGTCATCGAGTCCTTCACCGAGCTCTCCCGCATCGTCCTTATGCGGCACGGCATGGAGAAGATCTGGAGACCCAACCGAGGTCAGCAGGGAGGAGGCTGCTCCGTGTGGGAAGGGCTAGGATGGGGCTGCTGCCTGGGTGGGAGATGTGTTTCAGAGGAACTGTAGGAGCTGAAAGCTCCTGACGTGGAGAAAATGCCTCGGGCCAGACAAGCTGAAGCTGAGCCACAAGCTGCCCGTGCTGGTGCAGGGGATGGGCAGCTCCAGAGGGCAGTTCAGCATGTCTGGGATCCGAAGTGCTCCAGGGCATCCTCTACCCTTCCACGCATTCTGGATGAGGCTCAGGGCAATTAAGCTCCAAACTTGAAAGTGCTTCAATCAAACAGTTGTGTGGGATGAATTCAAGCATAAGCACCTTGGTCCCTGCCCTTGTCAGAGCCTGTCTCCCCTGTTCTGGAGGGAAGCAGAGTGAGCCAAGGAGCTGAAAGGGACTAAATCCCGTTCCTGCTCTCGGCATGCAGCAATGGAGTGGTGTATTCCATATATCCAGGCACACGTGCTATAGTGAGGCAAACCACAAGCAGCTTCCAGATTACATCTCCGCCTGTGGGTTTTGAAGCAAAATAATCTCAGTTCCCACATTATTCCTGGCTGGAGATAACAGTGTGTCCCACTGCAGTCTGACCAGCAGATTTGCACTCCTGGGGTGACCTGCCCTCATGTGGATCCTCATCTCCTCAGAGAGGGGAAATCCTGTTTGCCAGCTCCAGTCACCAGATTTTCTGCATGGGCTCATGTTCCCGACCTGGCTGCTGTGCCATGGTCTCCAGGTCATGGAGGGATGGTGGGCAGGAACTGGGCTGCATTCTCACACCTTTCCTGAACCTCTTCAGAGGATTTGTAACTGTGGGCTGCCTGCTCAGGAATGGATAGGGCAACATGAAACGACCTCAGGTTGCGCCAGGGGAGGTTTAGATAGGATATTGGGGAAACTTTTTCACAGAAAGGTTGGTCAGGCACTGGCACAGGCTGCCCAGGGCAGGGGTGGAGTCACCACCCCTGGAAGCGTTCAAAAACCGTGTGGATGTGGCAGTTGGGGAGGTTGGCAGTGCTGGATTAAGGGCTGGACTCGGTGATCTTAGTGTGCTTTTCCGTGGTTCTGTGAACGCGTGTCTGCCTGCTCGGTGGTGTCGCCCTGGCTCTGGTGCAGGCGGGAGGATCGCGCGTGGCCGCGGGCTGGGAGTTCAGCGAGAGGGGCTCAGGACGGGCTCGCGTGGGGCACGTGGAGCTAGGGGGATGCTGGGACAGGGTCCTCTCCTGGCTTGATGGCACCTCTGTGGCTTGGGGTGCTGCAGAGAGCTGCTCCCCGAGCAGGTCCCAAGTGACGCTGTCCTGCTTTGGGTCTTACTGACCCTATTGTCTCTTTCCCAAGCATGTCCCGATTGCCAAAGGATGGGTTGAGAAGCCTAGTGTCTGTCAGGAATGTGAGCCAGGCTGTGGTGCCCTGGCACTGTGCAGAGCAAGGCTGGTAGTGCCTAACCCTGTGCTGATACCAAAGCTGCTGTCTGTGGCAAAGCACAAACCTCCAACAGCAGAGCTCACCTTCATTTCCCAAGCTTCTGTCCTTACTAACCTGCTCCCTGCTCAAGGCTCCTGTGCAGTCATTATTGGCGTCTCTCCCTGAGGAGCCAGAGCTGCACAGCACGAGGATGAAATCCCTTGGCCTTGACTGTCTGGTCCTTTCTCCCACCAGTGTTCAGCTTGCAGGACCTGTGCTGCCGAGCCATCGTGTCCTGCACCCCAGTGCACCTCATCGACAAGCTGCCCTTGCCTGTCACCATCAAGAGCCACCTGAAATCCTTCTCCATGGCCAACGGGATGAACGCGGTGATGATGCACGGCCGCTCCTATTCCCTGGCCAGCAGTGGAGGTGGGAGCAGCAGCAAAGGGAACAGCTTGAAGAGGTCCAAATCCATCCGGCCACCCCAGAGCCCCCCACAGAACTGCTCACGCAACAACTGCAAGATCTCTTAGCAGGATGGGCTCCACGAGCTTCTGTCGGATCCACACCCACCCACCGATGTACAGCTGTTTGCACACCGAACCCTTTCCCACTGGATCCTCTCGGATGGGCTGCGGTCGCTTTTCCGACGGCACGCACAAGCGTTAGGAATGTGGTCGCGTTTTGGCTTGGCATAGGGAGAAGCGTGGTGCCGGATGGATCCTGCGGCGCTGGCAGGGGCAGGATCTGCCAAGTGACCCTCCAGGAATGCTTTGGGCTTTGCCTCTCAGCCTGGGGTGGAAAATTCAGCAGCTGCTGGGTTGGGGAGGGGGGAAGGGGAAAAAAAGCTCATCCAGTCTCAATGGAGAAATGGATTTAATGGAAGATTGAGAGGCTTAAGGGAGTCGGCAAGGAGAGTCTGTGCTGCAGCTTTAACTCTTGGCCTGCTGAATAGATTGCCGGCGCAATAGCGATCGCTGGATGTAGAGGAAAAAAAAGCAGGGACGGGACTAATTGCAGTTTTCACCAGGATGTTAATCTGCTGTTGCCAAAAAAAATCCAGAAAACAAGGCAAGAGTTGGCCAACTGGGAAGGGGAAGGCAGAGCTCTGCTCGCTGCCTTGGGTTATTTATGTAAATATTATACA